GTCGCGGTTGCGCGGCGCTGCCAAGCTCCCTGCGCGCCGAGGCCTGGCCGCGGGCAGCGGGATCGGTTTCGTGCAGGCTTCTCCGTCCCCGGGAGGGTGGGAGGGCTGCCCAGCTGCTCCCCAGGTCTCTGCGGGAGGGCAAAGCCATGGGCGACTTCAGGTCCGGCCCCTGCGGCTCTCAGGCTGCAGAGCCTCCTGTGCGTGCCGTCCGCGGCCCCGGGTTTCGGCACGCAGTAAGGTCTGGTTCTCTCACCGTGCTGTCAGATTCAGGGTGGTTCTTTGCAACCCGCTCTACAACGAGCGGGAGAAACCCAGTTACAGAGGGGTATTAACACCTGCAAAAGGTTGTCCTCGCAGGACTGTGCAAAGTCAGGTAGCGGGTCTCCAGGGGAGTCCCGGCCAGCTCTGCGTGTTTGGGGGGGCGCAGGGCTGAGATGGTCTGCACCAGCAGCTGCAGTGGGGCTCGCTCGTCTGTGCCAGCAGCTGGGGACGCTGAGATCCAGGGCCGACTACTGGGCAGACTGAGTCAACGCTTCCTTTACCACTTTCTGATCTTCTACAGGTTTTAAAAGCCTTTTTCTCTCTTTGACATAGATAGCAAGGTGGAAGACCAGCATCTACAAGCACCATCTTGAGCCGAATCAGTGCAGTACATCCAGTTTCTGGCACCAGTTTCTTTGCCAAAACACATGAGAATTTTCTGATCCTTTCCAGTTATAGAGTACTGAGTAAGCAAAGAGTTTCGCTCTCCCGTAAAGCTTGAGGTGAGGGGAGAATACCTGAGTAATAGGGAGCCCAGCCAACAATGCTGTATTCAAAATAGCTTTTATCTTTATTTTTTTCTGCAGAAACAAAGGAACTTTTTTATCATAGGGCAATGTTTGTATGGATGTAAGGAAGCAGTCCCTGAAAAGAATGATTTGGGCACGGGTAGGACTTGGGAGGCCACAGAGGCTGAGTGGGGTACTGAGGCTCAGACTAGGAAGTGAAGTACTAGAGCAAGGGATAGGGGATAGTGATGACTGTGGAAAGAAAGTACTCGGGGCAAGGATAAAAAAAAAAAAAAAAGTTGGCTTTGAAAGGAAATAGATTGAAAAAAGTTGTTGGATGTCTGATTTCCATGGCCTTGTGGGGCAATAGTATTTGGAGGAGCTAAGAGAAGAAAGATCTTTAAGGTAGACCTGGAAGGAGTACAGGCTTTAGGAAGTGAAGCTAAAATAAAAGGAATGATCTGATACATTAGAGGCCATAACATATCTTCTGAGTATAGCATGCTGGTTTAGAAAGTTGTCTTGAAGATACCAAGTGGTAGGTGTTCCTCTGTATTTCTACAAATATTCTTTCAGTGGCTTACTAATAATGTAGAAGGCAGGATGGATTTGAGAAGAAAACTGAAGGAAGTGGAGGTAGGCAGGAGGTTGTTACGGGGAAAGGCATTTCAATGCAGAATCATAGTTTCAGAAGGAGTAAGAGAACCCGATCTACAAAGAATTGCTTTTTCTTGGATCAGTTTTCACAGGAAATTTCCTGAAATTAATTTGCTGGCCACCTTTCCCAGCACTTATGGTTGTTGGATCCAGTAAAATAAAAATACAAGTTTACCTACTTTATCTGTTCCTCTAATGTCTTCCTTTCGTGTTTGAAACTTGGTATTTTGTAGTGTTGGGCATTTCAAACGACAAGTGAAGTTGTGGACTAGCTCCATTTAGACGCTGGTCTTCATACATCCCAAAACTTGTTTTGTGCATTGAGGAAAGTAACAGAAACCACAGCCTAAATGTTATCAGGATTTGTTTGATGGTTCAGCTGGCTTGGCAAAGTGAAATGCACAGAAACGGATCACTGTATTAGGATAATATGGTTTGGCATCAGTACTTAGAGGGTATGTTCTACATTTCATTCACTTTGCTTTGGGTCAGCTCTTAAATTATCTACCAACCCCAAGAAAACAGCGAAAGTGTGAAGCCCAATCTAGAAGGTTAATTTTTGAGGCTCTAGCATTTTTAAATGGTCATAAAGCCATTTGTTTGCATTACCCCTAATGAAGAAACTATGTAAGGGGTGTCCAACTGCTGCCTTTAATGAATACCAGAAGGGGGTACTTTTTAAAATGAGATCATTAAAGGATGAGCACTAAATACTAGTAATAATCCTGTGCCAGCCTTTTAAATATATAAATAAACTTGACTGCTTAGGAACTGAATGCCACGTTCTTACAGATTTTGGATGTCCTTTACTCATAAAAGTGTTTTTATCTGATGATTTATTTTTTCAGCTTTGGAGGCTTGTAATAGAACTAAGCCACTTGACCTAGATTCAGTGTGACTTGTTAATAGACTGGCCAAGATACAGGTTCAGTCATGTTACTTAATTTTCTCAGTCTCAGTGAAAACCATAGTGTGAATTTCTACAGAAAACTCATTGGATGATTGCTTATTTTGCAGATGCGTGTTTTCTGAGTGATATAAAAAAAAAAAAAAAAAAAAGCACAGCCTAAGGTTAAATCAAAGCTATCACAGAACTGTTATTAGAGGGCAAGGCCTCTCTTATTTGTTCAGGTGCCATTAGCAAAAAGGCTTATTTTTCTGCCTCATTAGTACCTCATTGCTAGGTGTGGAGAATGCCGCTGTAATACGGATGAACACGCTGAGTTAACCTATGAGTTGATCAAGAAATGGCATTTCTTTGGCTTTTGTTGTCCTTCGCTTGGGACCGAGGGGGCAGTTCCTGCCTCTCCTCTCACGCCAGCTGAAGATGCCAGTGAACTAAAAAGGGATATGTAGGGGCAGTTGTTTCCTGACAGGAATAGCTTACGGTTTGCAGCCTTTTTGTGAAATGGCAAAAGTAAGAAGGATTCATGTCAGAGCTGGATAATCTTCTGTCAAAAAAAAAAAAAAACCAAAATTGGCAGCAACCTATTTTGAGTGAAAGTGCATGCAAGCTACCACTCCTATCCATGATGCTGTTACTACCGTCGCTGTTTTGCACAGCTTTTTAGTGTATCTTCTTAGAAAACAGTAAACTTCGCTGAGGTTGCCATGTTATCTGTTATGGCATGAATTTCTATTAACAGTCAGAGTGATTTTCTGATTTTCCAACTCTGGGGAAGTCCAAATGGCAATGCAAGTGAATCTAGTGGGAAAGACTTGTATTTAGCTGCCGACCTGTTCTGTTGTCCTGACTGTGAGCCTATGTTGGAGGATATAGATTCCTTATGGATACATTTCCTCAGTTTTCTCACTGGGGAGTACAGATGATGTGATGTGAAACCTCTTCCATTCATACTGACGTAATTAAAGACAGATCTCTTTGGTCAGCAGAGCTGGATAACTTGCCTTCAAGAAGTTAGGAGAACCCGTTGAAGGATTCTTACGATCAATAAGAATTGGTCACAAGAACTTTCTAGTTGAGCACTAGAAAAGTTTCAGGAGAATGCTAACATGCCAGTAGTTAAAAATACAAACGGGACAAGCCAGGTAATTAAAAACCTGCCAGCCAGGCTTTAATCTCAGGAACCTATTGGAACA